ACTGAATGCGTTCTGACTTACACAATAATTACGTCTCCAACTTCCTCATATGTAATGTGGAAAGTTTCCCATTGTATGGAAGTTCTCCCCTAAAATTTGGTATGTTTGCCTTCATTGCAGTAGGCTGTCATTGCGCAACCAAGTTGCAGATAATGGATGCAACCTGCGAGGAAAAAACATGATGTATAAAAACGAAAGGCGTTTGTTACATGGGGATAATCGACAAAAAGGAATAAGGAGTAGTGGGATGAATAAAATGAAATAAATAAATTCTTTTTAAGTAGACACACCTCTGAGGTACAGGCGAAAGTATTTGCCATCTTGCAGTATACAGGAATGGACAATGAGAGCAGTACATAAAAATTGATTGTCACATAATATGGTTAAATACGATAGATTATTACTTATTAACTTAGCAAGATGAAAATAAGTTAGTTTTAGATAGGAAAAGACATTCATACATACACCTATATCCTGTCGTATGAAGAATTGAAAATTTTTATCTTAACTCAATATAATTTAATTTCCACCACATTGAATACACTCCACACTATACGTTGGATGATCCAACACCTGGATTTCAGTTTCATGAAAAGTGTTTTGAGTTAACTGAGTTTTTGGCGTGATGATGCTACCAGTGTAGTGACAATCTAGACCTTGAATTTTTTAGTACACTGTCAGGAATCTGCCCCAACCGCAACTATTTAGAAGAAATGGGTAGTGTTCAAGGAAAGTCTCCTATTATACTATTTTCAATACCAGGTATTTCGCTATTACTGCTGTTTGATGATGACAGTTTTCTGTATTTTCCACCTTCCAAAATCACGTCAAAATTGTACAGATGTACAGATGCATGATTTATATTAATACCTTCGTTTCATTGCATTGTCTAGTTTATCCTTGTTTATTAGTGATAACTGGATGATCCACATTGTAACACATGTAGTATTTCTATCTATTGGTTTGTCACTTGGTAGGCATTGGTAGGCAAATCTAGCCAAAAGTATGATAAATCTACTAATTTGCCGACAAACGCTTGGCTCGTAATCATTCAAATGCATTCAGTGCTTTTTCCGATGACATCACATTTGTCATAGTTGACTATAACCTCAAATATGTAGTATATGCAGTATATATAAATCTTTTGTGTGTCCTTCTTTTTAGTTAACTACTTAGATTAATCAATCTAGTTAAAAAAATAATTAAAGAAAATTCTTAATTAATTTTATATAAAACTTTTGTATGTCCTTATTTTTAACTACCAGTGTTGGCTCATATTGTAAAGTACATTCCGTTTCGACTACGATCAAACTGCTACTTATTGACTAAAATAATTGTTTGATGAGATGAACATTCTTCAGTTACCTTTCTGTCACGGTTTTTTAAGATTGTACTTAGATACAGACAGTGTCATTTGTCTGGTAATTAGATACTGTGGTTTTAGTTCCGAAGATTCAACTGTTGTTTTGTCTATTCAAGCCGTTTATTAACGTAATCTACCTGAAAATAACCAAGCATATATTGTATTTGGGCGTCCAAAAAAGGATCTGAAAAATTCTGGCACCATCTCTGAGACATTAGCAACAGAAAAACGAATTAAAAAGCCTACTTTGGAAAGAGTTATCTCTACTACTGTGTCGTTAGGATCTTTATCTTTTCTTAGCATCTCTAATGCCTCTACTTTTAATTGGATATCTTCAGGTGGAATACATTGGTCAATGCCTGGTGATTACCAATTAGTGTAGGCGTTAAAGATGCAAAAAGGGATTGAAGATCCCAGCGCCGTTTTTGGGACAGCAGCAGTACCAAACACTCTATCTCTTCTCAAAGTAGATTTCTTAATTCATTTGCATTCTGCGACTGTGCCATGATTAGCGCTAGTGTCTTCCAAATCCATTTTTGAATGCCGGAGTTTTCATTTCCAAACATACAGTTAAACTACCTTTTTTTTCCAGATATATTTGCAGAGAGGATTACTCTTCAGTCGGTGGGGAGTATGGAGTGATATATACACAGGTATTGATGGTGATGCAGTACGTAATACCATCTGTAGTACTATTATTCACCTACACAAGTATAGCTGCAGTCATTTGGTGTCACAGGATACCAGGAGAAGCAGAAAACTGCAGAGATAGGAGGATCGCCAGGTCGAAAAGGAAGGTGAGCAATATTGATCATTAAAAGTAGTTTCTTATTTGACAAATTCAAATAGAAACATTATCAATTTATTCTGAAACCCTACCAACACTCTTGGACTCTGCATCTTAACTGCTCAAGCTTAGAGTTCAAGGTAGAGTGGTGTTTCTTATGGGATATTTTCCATGGATTTTTGAGTCAATATATTTCCTCTGCTGTGGAGGTTAGGCTTCCGTGAGATGTGAGAAAAAACCTTCATTCCCTGGCGTTGTAGTCTGATATCCCAGAGGTAGCCTAATATGCTAGGGCTGCCAGACACCTTACTTTTTGAAAGACAAAGTTTGTGGAATTTAGCAGCGCTTATGTGGTGTTCCTTCTAAGTTGGCTGAATGGCCACTTACTAATACAAGGTGAAAAAGATAAGTGGAAATGAGACTAAATTAGCTTAAATTCTGATGGATGCTGTTTACTGTACTTTGTAACACATTCTTACAAGCAGTATAAGGCACTGCTAGATACTTCCCGTCGGACATGACTTCTGAGAGACGCTTAAAAGAAGGTGTCCCGCTATAAAATGGCCTCCCTATACCTTTTTGTATAAACGTTTATAGGAAATATTATGTTATGTACAGAAGGTATAGATTCTAGTATAAAAATCTTTCAGGCATGTCTTTTTTGTATACAGTGTGTCAGTGCTACCGAATAATGTGCCCTATATAAAAAATACAACAATACGATAGAACTTTTCTGTACAAAAAACAGCCCAAAAAACTTCATATTAGACCCTATTGTTTTGCATGGAACTTTTTTTCTAAGCCATCCCAGAAATAAGGTAGAGAGAAGTCAATTTATAGCGGAATACCATGCTTACAAGCATTTTCATTTTTTAGCATGTCTTAGGTTTGCTGAACTACAGTCTGTTACTATATTAATCCCTCTCCAATTGCTCGGATTAAGCAAGGTATAATGTAAGGAATGAGAACGCGTATAGGAATTATAGAAACAGGGAACGAAAGCTGACGTGTTTTATTATCTCTTGTCTAGGTTTGTTTAAAACACGTTGATGGAACTTTTTTATTATTAATATTGCGGGAGAGCACCGTTCCGAAATGAACAAAGTGAGGGCGTAGAGAGAGGCCCTTTTAATTTCATTATCCTTCCATAAAATGCTCGGGGTATAAAAATATATTATTTTTGTCACATAGCAGGGAAATGCTTTGAAACATTTTAACTTGACACAATGTACGAGTATTTGTGATGTTGGTACTTCTATATATCCATTTGGTGCTTTCAGCTTGTTTTATGTGAAAGCAACATATACGTCTTTATTATCAGAACTCCTCATCTATAATGCTTTTTTACAGAGCTTAAATGAAAGTCTTCCTGATTGTCAGACACTTTGAAATTGTAGTATGCAGCCGCGCCCCTAGGCTGCATCTTCCTCTCGCTTACGCATAATATGCATTGAGCGCGCGCTTGATTAACAATTAAGAACATAAAATATTGCATGAAATTACCTAATGTAAAGCAATGCAGCGCCTTTATACTGAATAGCAGTCGCCGAAAAGTTTTTGCAGTTATCAGTTTTGTAACAGTGTGACCATAAATTATTGCATAGTGTCATCCGGATATCGAGAGTAAAAGTTACAAAGTTCCCAATAGTGGGTAAAATAGGTAAAGCTCCTATCTAACATCGGACCTATCATAAACAGAAAGGTCTGAGAAGATGCATATATCTGTCTATAGTATTCCATTATTATATTAGAACCCTTTTGTCTGATTTGATTGTTGTAAAATCCAAATAAGGCCGAATGGCAGACATGTCTCATTTCGTTTCTAGAAACTAGCAGATAAAAACAAGATAGGCATATTTTGTGGTTTAAATCTACTACCAAATGTGCCTATCATGCAGGTATAAGTGGAATAATGGCATAACACGGTGGGGTCAAATTGTGAAAGTGAAAGTTTTTCTAAAGAGCTTTCTTGACCTGCTCAAGCCCAGCTGCACACCCCACAAATATGTGGCGACGCCTAATATTTGAATGCTTGGCAGTCCTATCGTTGTTGAGAAAATGACATGTATTATTTCATATTATGATTGTGGCCAGATTATAGCATTCCTGTCTATTTCATAGAATACATAATTTTCAATCTCAGAAATATATGGGAGGTACAGCTTACACGGAATAGGTATATTGGTCTATCTCAGATTCAAGTTGGAGCGAGAGAGCAACCCAATGATAAGATATGTGCAACCAAAAATATATAGTAAAGATCAGCTACAATTTATATATTTCATGTAATTTCATTAATATTGATAATTCATAAGGCCTACGTCTCTGGAAGTAAAGAAATCTTCCCGCCAGAAGAAGGGTCAACTGACTAAAAGAAGCAATAGAGTTAATGTTTTCTCGTAAATTACTGTTTGCCATTTACCTCGCTCTTTCGACTATCGAAATCAAGTCCGATATTCACAGATAATTTAAAATTAGTGATTTAGTGTGAGCGAATGGCATTAATGCTTATATAATTTCAAGATTCAGATACTATTTGTCAGCTTCCCTATCAGAACATTTCTCCAGTTATTGAGGTCGAAACCTCTCTAGATTTTTTTATCTAAAGTTATTCATCGAACTTAACGTATTACGATCTCTAAGTTGTCCTCTTTAGATTATTGTTAAATAACTGTCAAAATCTGGCTTAGTGATTTTCTTCGATAGCCTGCCCTGGTCTTGATTTCAAGATTTTGTCTGAATTTGATTTAATATTTCCTTGATTCTTCTCAGATTTGACATATGTGCTTTTATTCAACATTTTCTTTGTTTTAAATAAATCACATAGTCATTCCGAAGCTGTGTCATTCTTTACTTCTTACTTCGAGCTGATACTGATTTTTGAGTCAGTGAGACTATAGTAGCTATTGCGATTGCGGCTATCGTTGTCTGTGATTGCCAGTTTTTGAGTAGTTGAGACTGCTTCAGAGATTCTGACAGAAAAAAAAAAACACCTCAGCCAATAAAGAATGAGTTCAAATATTATAAAAGTTGCTCTGTCGGATTCTGGGCGAACCTATTATTCGTACGTAAGTCTCTTGGATTTCTAATAAATTGGATAAAGGTAACAACCAGTCATTCTATTTTCAGTATTCAGTTTCATCTGACATATTTGCTAGTTGGTTGATCGTGTGTCAAATCTTTTCCTCAGCTACTAAGTTCGGTGGACCATGGAAGGCCATTCTAACAACTTATCAGTCACTATTCCTTTATTCACTGGATAAACGAAACAAACAAATTATCATGTATCACTTTTTTATTATGCAACGTATATAATATTTTTTAAATGCAGAGTTGATCATTATTCTTTGAACTCAAGTTCTATTAAGCCCTTTTAAATAACCTTACAAGGAACAAGGCTCCATACAAGGCCGATATAATAAATCAGCCGTTCAACTAGCAATATGATCAAAATATCTGTTTATATTACTTAAGCTGCATAAAAGATCTTCCATTGAGATAAAACAATAGATACTTAACAATAATATATTACTAATAATAATAGTAATCGTCTTTTTATTTGGGAGAACTTTAGCTTAAGCTATTTCTCCAGTTCTATTCTGATAAAAAGTACTATCTGATATCGATACCAAATAACTTACCAATAACCTTTAAAAAGAACTAAAATGAAACATTATACCGATCAGAATGGTATTCTTATGGGTCCGTTCCTGGTAAGACCAAAATTTTCAGGTGGCGCTCGAAATCTACAAATAAGTAAATATTGAGGTGATAGAATTTTAAAAAAGTACATGACTTTCTCCTACAAATAAAACTATGACTTAATATTTTCGTGATTCCTAGATGTTTTTAATAAGGCCCTCGCAAGGCGAACTGTATTTTTTGATTTACTTGAAAGCCCACATTTTGTTGTGAGCTTGTATTATAACGCTACGCCCCCAGGGTGCGTGGCACGCTATCATGATCCTTGCTTTCGCGGAATTGCCTCTGACCGAACAAGGTGTCGTAAGTTTGCATTGGGCACCATCGGGGTAGCAGTAAGACCACGACCGCTCACACTCGATATCAAACACGTTTGATTTTTGGGCGTGGAGACGCGAGTGGGTAGCGAGGCAGATGGTAATCACCACGTGGGTTTTGGTAGTGTCAAGAAGATTGGAAACAGGAGGGTAAGCTCATGGAGGAGATGATAAAGCCAAAGGTGCCAAGAAATGCGATCTATCTACAACAGTCATGGCGTCAGAAGTGTATTTCTGATTCTGCGCATGTTCTATCTCTCTCAGGTTGGTATCTCTCTGTAGCTCTGGCAACGTAAAACGTAAACAACTCTTGCTTTGCCTGTTCAGACGAATTGACGGCAGACATGTTGGCTTATGTTAATAAACCAACAAAGCATGTCACGGCGAGAGAAAACCGTTTGGTATATTAGGTTATTAGATCAAATAAGGCATGAGGTAGGTTATGTTGACATTTTTCACGTGTATGTATGTACATGCGCAGAACCTCTACGCACACCATATTCCTGAGAACCACGCCCTCATCACTCAGAGAATTGGCTTCATATGAATATGTGTCTTATCAAGAAATGAATTGATTCGTGAAGTGTGACCATGTGATCAGTCCACGAACCTCACTGGCTCACTCCGGCCAAGAGTCACAAAAAAATGTTGTGTTCTTGTCTCGTGAGAACGTAACAAAACACCTTAGATTGAAATCTACAAAGCAAGGAACCGCATTATCAAAATAATGGCGCAAGCGGCTTGCTGCTACGTCTGTGTTCTTGAGTTCTATGGTTGTTAGTGTGAGTAGAAGGAATTTATCGTCACATGGCCGTAACTACCACTTTTCAATAATACAGGTCAGCAAGACTCTGATCCCGAAATCAGAGTAAGGTTTCCCGAAGGTTTTCGATGCACAATCCGTGGTCCAAATCTCTCAATTGGATCTAGCTTTTGAGATATCCTAACCCTAAATTGCAAACACAGCGGTTTTTCCTATATTTGAGGTTATGTAGAATGGTGGATTAATTTTTTACAAAAAACCTTGTCCTTTTAAATGTAGCTGAGTTTGCCTAAATATCTTCTTCTCTGAGGTATAACACTTCGAAGCTTTCACTTTTTTAATTTCACTATATTTGATACACTACACGGTATGATTATGTGTGCATCAAAGTTGAGGTTTGGATTATAGTACACCAAAAATTTAATAACAAGTTAACGTATTTTTATGGAATAAGGCATAGTAACTAAAAAATACAAGAATCCTGAACACTAAGTCCATAGAATATCGAAAACTTACGCAAACTGCAAGTCCACAACCCACCCTATCCAATCAAGTCCGAATTTAACGCTCTTACTTTCGATTACACAATTTTTTTAAAATAATATAAATTTTTATGGAATGAGGCATGTCAACTAGAACATCCGTAAATCCGGAATACTAAATCTATATACTTAAATTACAAGTGAATATACTAAATCGTAGGTCGAATAAATTCGCGATTTTAATCACCTACATTCTGTAGGGTGTTGTGCTTGACTTTGCAGTTAGTTCAGTAAGATTAATCTCACACATCATCCATAATGAACAATAATGGGTGCAAAATATGCCTAGATACAGTGAACACGAAAAAACCTGGTATTCAGTGTAGTGGTTTTGGTCAGAAATCGTACCATGGTAGCTCTCTCGTAAACAGCTCGATAGTCTCAGAGCTGTTGTAGTTACCTGGAAGTGCACGAATTGTTGGGATAGTTCTTTCCATTATTCCCTGTCATCTTCACTGGCGTCTAGTTCATGGTCGTTGTTGGGTGCAGTACGCGATGTGACAGTCATTAGCCCTCCAGATGAACTTTTGTGGACAACAATGCAAGATGTTAAGGCTGAATTGAGGCAGTTGCGTGAACAGCAGACGACTCTTCTCAATAGCGTCTCATTTTGAAGTGATTTTCAGGATAAGTCAACAAAAATTGCTGAATATGTCGATATATAGAGTGTGGAAGATCTTTGGGTGTCCACCCGAAGAAATAGTGGTGAGAAACTTTTGATTTGTATTCCATATCGCGCTCCAAGAGATCATGAGGCTCGCAGATTTTTTGTAGATAATTTGGACAACAGCAAACTTTCGCTCCGCTTCGACCGAGTAATGGTCATAGGAGATTTAAACGTTCCAGATGTAGTTTGGAAACCCCTAGATCGTGTGCATTTTTTGGAGCCATGACAAGTTGATAACCTACATTTCGATCTAATACATATCTCTTTATATCTTGAAATGATGGAGTTGGATCATGTGCTGAATCTAAGCAACCGAATTCTAGATTTGATTTCACATAACAATAGCAAATATTTTCAGCAACAGCATGGATTTTTTCCTAAAAGGTGCCTGCATACCAATTTGCTCCGTTTTTCTGACTTCGTTTCCGATGCGTTGGACAGAAATTTCCAAGTCGATGTTATTTATACCGACTTTAGCAACGCTTTTGATCAAGTTAATCATAATTTGCTCTTGGCAAAACTTGCTGAGGTTGGTGCTCGTAGCCCTCTTGTAATGTGGGTTTCATCTTACGCGAAGGAGAATTCTTCGTGTCTATAAACGGGTATAAATCCAGAGTCGTTATTCCATCATTGGGAGTTCTTCAGGGTATCCAGTTAGGTCTATTATTTTTCCTAGTCTATATGATATCACACAATGCTTCAGGCATTGCTTGTTTCTTCTTTACATCTATTATCTGGAATTCACAGCATGAAGTCCACATAAGGAGAATTGAGTCTGTCCAACATCAGTACTTGCGAAGTCTGGCTTATAAGGCGATAATTCATTGTCCATGAGCACGATTATAGCTTGGTAATGAAACATTTTAAAATCTTACCATTGGCCAAGAGAAAGGTATTATCTGACTTATGTTTTCTTCACTGAATCTTGAACAATCAAATTGACTGCTTTTACCTTTCATCAAAAATCAATATAAATGTACCGATAAGAGGGAATCCTAGACACTGTATACACTTCAATATTCCGTTTTGTAGCTTGGTTTAAACTCTCCACTGGTACGAATGCAAAGAAATCTGAGCAACTATGGTGAATTTGCCGATACAGAATCACAATACTTACAATTTACTAGACTTAACTATATTGTGGCTGTCTATTTTTGATATTTTTTCTGTTAGATGTCCTTAATCTGTTAAATAAATAAATAAATAAATAAATAAAATATCTAAAACTTACCCAAACCGCAAGCCCACAATCTACCCTACCCTATACAAGCCGAATTTAACGTTCTCACCTTCGATTGCACACTTAAAAAAATAGTACTTCCTTCTAATAAAATCTGAATCAACCTAGATCAGAAAAATTAAAATTTCAAAGTGCCGTATCTCGTCATTTGAAAGAGCAGGGTTTTGTTCTTTGAGGTGAACCCTATAGTTTTTGGAAAAAAATATTTCGCTATGCTACATAACCCTAAATATAACCAAAAATCTGTATTTTTGCACTTTTAGGTTAGGATATCTCGGAGACGTATCAGCGCATCAAAAAGCCTCGGAAAAAATACTCTGGTTTCGGGATAAGAGAGGTGGTCTATTTTTGTCGGCCTGAACGATTGGTCGAAAAATACTGCAAAGCTGATCCATTTTACTTCAGCTGAATGTACGTAGCGGTTATAACACTTGCTTGCCAGTTGGCGAGGCAAGTAAAAACACCACGTTTTTAACGTCACGCCTCCAGCATCCGTATAATATATCTCTCGAAAAATCTCTGCCATTCTTCAAACGACTATTCTCAGTAGTTCCTCACATACTCACATGTATTTAGATTCGCATGAAAGGCCCCCACACAAATTTTGCAGAATTGCTCTCTAAGAATCAAAATGTTTGTTGGTTTGCTGCTTATCGCTCTGTCTAAGAAGCACTCCATATCTACGTATCCCGTGCAGGGGATAAAAAGCAATTTCACAAATATCATCTGAAGGTGCATTCAAGCGCGTAACACATTTTGCCCAATTCTCGGTAAAAACCCAGTAATTGGTCTTTTTAGAAATACGACAAGCAAATGGTATTGCGTTTCAAGATGTACAAAAAATCGGTCTCATAAGCGCAGAAGTGCCTGCTTCTCAGATAGACAGGTTATATTCGAATGTCGATGTGATTTTTTATTGGACAGCGATGTGACATTTCAATTTCAGCTTAGCAAAAACTAGCGGAGCTTTCTACAGGATGTCAACATGAACATGTTAAGAAGGAGGCAGAAAACGTGACCCTTGCTCCAACAGACATTTATATTTGATAGAATTAAGCTATCTCTTGCAACGTCAATCCTGCAGTTTCATAGGGCTGCCTGGCAAAAATATAATTATTATGTCCAAATCATTTTTTGGAGCTTTATTCTTATTAAACCGGAATTCAAAGCTTAGCTGAATCAACAAGATTTGATTAGACACACAATTGCCCTATAACCCTAATGTCAGCTTTTTCCAAACATCTGGAAAAAGTTGTTACTGGTATATCATACAATTTCGTCAATGAAAACAACATCGCCTCCCAATTCCAAAATGGCTTCCGGCGTAACTTTTCAACTAGTAATGCGGTCTTTAGCTTACTAAAATTTTGCGCACAAATTCTTAGATAAAGGAAAGTATAGGGTAGACTGGATAGGGTCGCAACAGGGTACGGTTGTTGCAACTGAAATGCTATCAAAGCTATGCACGGTAGACAAGAGGTCCAAAAGGAGGGGAACGCGGGTCACGATTCCAGTGTTGCGTAACCGTTTGCGTTTGACAAATTCATTTATGATAAGGCTTAAACATCAATATAATTATTGTATGGCAGAATGTATCTACATTATCGTCGTATTTTACAGATTATAATACGCTGATTTGTTTTTGTATTGGTTATGTTATCCCTTATCGGTAAGTCTTATTACAAAAAAAGAGGGTGGGGATGGAGGTAGTGATTTCCATGTAGACGGTTGTAACAGTAATTTTATAACATTTTTATTGCATATGCAGGAAACTCACTATTAAGTGCGGAACAACCTCCATTCAGCGCAGTACGTTTAACTGAGCCCGCAAATAGAGTATCACCTGAATAAGCTACTTCGCAGACAACATTGACAAACATAGATTCAAATAGTACGGAAAGTCAGTCCCGAAGACTGAACCTTAATTTATAGTCAAATGCCTAGACCACTTGTAATCGCCGAGGTGCCAGCAATGAAACCGGCACTCAGACAAACACTTCCAGAAGCTAACCAAGAATCGCAATCTTTTACATTAAATCTGGAATCAGATATCTCTCCTTGTGATTCTGTTTTGCGTCAGCAACTAAAACCTCTTCCATATTCAAGCAACCAGTGAGCATTCTCGCCCTAGGCATTACGACCTTATCCTAAAGCTCCTCCTAGAAAAGTACGATACAGAAGTGTGTAACGTGCCAAAATCACATAACCTTCTTTTTACTATTTTGATCATCAGTAATTTGATTTTCTCTTTATTAATGAAATAGTACCGATTCCTAGGTCAAACCCTCTTCGATGATTTTCTTTTGGCAAATTTGATAATTTATTGATCTATTGAGATCGAAACTACCGAATTCTGAAAATACCATTTCACACACATTATATCTTTCTTTCTTAGCGACTCAGTATTGTATTAATGACTATTTCAGAAATTTCATCATATAATATCGTTGGTCACTCGTTTCCTAGGGTGAGCACATAGACAACCAGCGCCCTCCTACCTTTGACACTGATAGTCAACTGTCTATCTGTCATTTTTTTCTGTTGAAGCATAGGCTAAGGTGTGTGCGTCCTTCGTTTGATTTCCAGATTTTGGGATATTGGGCCCCAACCATCGGTTTATGGAGTAGCACCCTGTTTTTTGTACCTACCTTACGTTTTGTTGTTTCTTTTGGTTGCTGTTTGGGTGTTACTCTCTCCATTTTTATGGGATTTTAAGCTGTTCAGCGGTTAGTTATTTTTTTATGCCATCTGACCACGTGCATTAATGCATGTCCAGAAGAAGTTTATTCAATATCTGCTTTCTTTTAGTGAGAAGGCGTTAAGAAAAACCACCATCTGTACTCTTCTAGCTTTGTAGCTGTCTTGTAGCTATTTTGTAGCCGATTTCCATGGGGAACCATCCCTTTCTCTTAAGAAAAAAAAACCTGATATAAACATGTAAAACATCATATTAATTAACTCTCTTATAGATAATCATACTCGTATATTGATTTCATTATTGACTGAAATTCTTAGAGTGTAGGGTATTGTCGGGAACAGTGGCTCAGTCGGGTACAGTGGCTCCATTCAATATCTCCAAAACGAGAGAGACTATCTATCTGTCGCAGTCATCTACATCAAGTGTTTACGACACAAATGCGCATGAACCAGTCGGTCAGCAACTAAAGCACTGATAGCACGCGTCTCGCCTTTGTGTTGGTTTTCAGGTACCCAAAATTACATTTCCAGGTAAGTTTGACTTTAAAATTCTAGCTTAATTGCTGTAGTTTATTATTTATTTATATTTTGTAGTAAAGTAAGTAGAAGCAAGATAATTTTAACTTTGCTTAGAACAGCCAGTGCAACGTGAATATGGCACAGAAGACATATATTTCAAAATGGCGTCACGGTCGACAGTGGCTCAGCACGTGGAAGTACACAGTGGTTCACGAGCCACTGTGTACTATTAGTGAACCATTGTGTACCGCTTACTTGAATATTTGTTTCAGAATGCCTCGCAAGAAACGGGCAATGAGAAAAATTGGCAACAGCTCCGCTGCAGACGTTAAAGCTGGGGTACTATTAATAAGATGTCTATCAGAAAAGCAGCTACGAGTTGTGGTGTGCCATTTACTACCCTGAAGAGGTATTATTGGAAAACTGCTGGTTCCGAAAATCTCGATGAGGAGCGATTCGAGCCGAATTATTCTGTGAACCAGATCTTTACCGCATCCCAAGAAGAGAAGTTGAAGGAATATTTTTCGCATTGCGCTCTTCTGTTTTACGGATTAACTGCAAGAGAATGTCGTCAAGTGGCGTATCAATGTGCTAAGCTAAATAATATAAAGATGCCTAAATCTTGGACAGACAATGAAATGGCGGGTAAGGACTGGTTAACTTTGTTCAAACGTAGGAACAGGTTTTCTTCCAGGAGACCAGAACCTTGTAGCCTAGCAAGAGCTACAGCCTTCAACCGAAACAACGTCAATAATTTTTACAATAATTTAGAAGATCTGATCAAGAGAAACTCGGCTTTTGCAAATGGTACCCGTATATTTAATCTGGATGAAACATCAACGACAACAGTGCAAAAGCCTCAAAAAGTAATAGCACCATTAGGCAGAAAATGCATTGGAAAAGTCACAAGTGGTGAGAGAGGAACTTTGGTAACCACATGCTGCATTGTAAGTGCCAGCGGCAACGCTTTGCCACCAGTTATGATATTTCCTAGGAAAAAATTCAAAGATCATATGATCAAAAACACACCTGCAGGAACACTCGGCTTAGCAACGCCTAGTGGATGGATGAACGCGGATAGTTTCACAGAAGTAATGAAACATTTTATCAAGCATACGAACTCTTGCAAAGAAAATCCTAGTATGTTGGTAATGGATAACCACGAGTCACATTTGAGCATTGAAGCCATACAGTTGGCAAAAGATTGTGGAGTCAATCTCCTCACTATTCATCCCCACACTTCGGGGAAATTACAACCACTTGACGTGGGAGTATTTAGCGCGTTCAAAGTATATTATAATGCTGGCATCGATTCCTGGCTTATGACACATCCTGGAAAGCCTGTTACCATATATGACTTAGGTGAAATCATTGGGGCAGCCTTTCTTAAAGCAATGACCCCAACAAACATTACCAGGGCTTTTGCAAAATGTGGTATTTACCCATTCGACAGAAACCTTTTTACAGACGAGGACTTTCTGCCAAGTACAGTAACAGATCGTCCAGGTCCCTGTTCAGACTGTTTGCCACGTGAAGAAGGTCTCATAAACGTAAACATCAATTCAATGAATGTCATCGAGTTGGGAGCACTCATCGGAGCATTCTATTTCACAGACTTGTGCAACATCAGAAAATCCATGCTCACCAACGTTGGGTACTTCGACGACACAACCAAGTCAAATTGAAACCACTGTTGTGTCTATCAACCATCAATCCATTTCTAAAGAAGTGGAAACGAAGAACCTGTCCGATGAAGATTCAATTTTGACAAAAACAAAAGTATCCAATACCGTTTCAGTTCCATCAGGACTCCAGTCATTAACCCTTCGGCGGTCGCGCTGCGGTACTCCGTGCCGCGTTTTTTTAATTTATTCTAGTTACTGAATAATTTTTCGAAGCACGCCACTGTCTCGCGAGGTATGCTTCGTTGGCTATATTTTGCAACGTGTACCTACGGGAACGGAGATGGAAATGCTTCCTTTTAGTGTAAATCGAGACTTTTAGTGAGAAGGCGCAGTTTGCGGTACTCCGTGCCGCCACGCAACCGATCATGTAAGTATTATGTTTGGTTTTTAGTTTGATACAGATATCGCTAAAATATATTACAAAGCCATTATAGCTCATTATTATTGTTATTTTTTTCCGAATTGGTGTGTTTTATCAACCTGAGATTGTGGAATAATATATAATCTTTAATATTTTAGGGATAAAAAGAGACCACTCACTGAACGAGAGCTGCAAGAGATCGTCGACAATTTCTCTGATTTTGATGAGGATATAGTAGACTTTGCAGATGAAAGCGAAGGAGAAGAAGAAGTTATTCAGTACAATGTTTACGACAGCGAATCTGAGCAATCTGCCGTTGAGGACTTGGACTATACACACGAATTGGATAATCAAGGAGATGAGTTCTTTTACATTGGAAAGGACGAAGAGAATGTTTGGAAAAGCACTCCTGTGAGTTTTACCAGTAAAACTAGGTCTAAAAATATAATCAAGATATTACCAGGTTCAAAAGGAGCTGCGAAAACTGTGCCAAATCATTTAGAGTCATTTTATATATTTATTTCCAATGAGATGATTGACAATATCGTAACATGCACAAATTTATATATAGATAATAAAAAACAAAATTTTGCAAGAGATAGAGATTGCAAAATAACTTCGTCCACGGAGGTCCAGGCATTATTCGGCGCGTTATATATAATTGCAGTAAAGAAAGGAAATCGTGTAGATGTGCGAGAACTGTGGAGTACAGATGGAACTGGAATGATTAGACTTCGGGCTGCTTTTAGTTACAGAAGATTTTTATTCCTTTTACGTGCTTTACGATTTGACAATATCAACACCAGGAAAGAACGCCAAAATATAGATAATTTAGCTGCAATACGGGATATTTACTCCGATTTTGCAAAGAATTGTATGAATAATTACATCCCTGGGGAATTCATTGCCATTGATGAAATGCTTCATCCGTTTCGGGGGCGATGTGGGTTCGTGCAATATATGCCGCAAAAGTCGACAAAATACGGTATAAAAATATATGCTTTGTGTGATAGTCGCACCTATTATACTTGGAATCTTGAGATTTATTGTGGGCAACAACGAGATGGTCCCTTTCAGACAAGTAATAAGCCATTCGATATAGTTCAAAGGTTGGTAGACCCTTTAAAAAATTCCAAGAGAAACCTGAGAACAGATAATTATTATACGAGCTATCCCCTAGCAAATTATCTTTTGCAAAATGGCCTTACGTTAATAGGTACAATAAAGAAAAATAAAAAGGAAATACCCCGGAATTAATTCCGAATAAAGCACGAATAGTTGATTCTTCATTATTCGGATTTCAGGACGAAATTAATTTGGTATCTTACGTACCCAAAAAGAATAAGGCTGTGATAATTCTTTCTTCTGTTGATGACAAAGGAGAGGTTGACGAGGCAACAAATAAGCCAACCATAATTTTAGATTATAACAGGACGAAGAGTGGTGTCGATACTGTCGATCAAAAATGTGCCTCTTATACAACCCAGAGAACCACTAGACGATGCCCCCTTGCAATATTTTTCCGCATTCTTGATACTACTGGGATAAACGCTGAAATTGGATTCAATAATACTAAACCTACAGAAGAGTCTCCTAGAAGACGAAAATTCTTAAATGAATTAGGCGTGTCTCTAATGGAACATCATATGGCGGAACGAGCGAAAATAATTACACTTCCAAAAGACATTAGAGAATTTCTTTCGCGATACCAAACTACTGTTGATGAGGTACCTGCAATAAAGCAAAATGGTAGTGGACGTTGTCATTTTTGTAGTGCGCATAAAAATAATAAAACTACTGTTAGATGTGACTCATGTTATCAGTTTGTATGTAAAAGCCATCGCAAAAAAACAGTTCAATGTGATACTTGTTTGTATACCCCGATGGAGGAAGACTGATTTATTTTAGAATTAAGTCTCTTGGTGGCTACGTTACCATTTTCACTTTAAAAATTCAGTGTTTATCTTTTATGTTCGCTATAGAATAATGTTTTAGTTTTGAATGTTTAAATAAATAAGAGCGCAATATTATAAATAAACTGATTTTTTAAATGTCTATTCTGTTTAATTACAAACTTATTAGTCAATGTTTTCTCTATAATAATACAAAATAAGTCATTGTCCAGATGCGGCACTCAGTGCCGCGATGCGACCGCTCATGTAATTTTAGATTGCGCGACTGACGCAGGGTTAAAAATATTAGCTCCTGAAGTGCTCATATCAGCAATTTCTTCGAACAAACTTCCACCCAAGCCATATATAATTACCCCGACACAAGACGTTGCTTTGACACCATCCATTTCTCAATCAGCTGAGAATACTTTTACATCTCCGTTTGAGTTTAGAGACCCAATAAAGGCTGGACCTAGAACAACTACCCGCAAGCGAAGGAAACCAGGCCGTAGCATGATTCTTACTGACACACAAGTTCGTCTAGAACAAGAAAAAATAGCTGCTAAAAGTAAAAACACTAATAAGAAGGGAAAAGTCACTCGAAAAGTATTACAAAGTGATGAAGAAGATAATGATCAAGAGAAGGAAACAGTGGAATATGCTGAATCTGATGATGATACAGACTGGGCAGCAGAAGATGAAGACGAAAACTCTGACGAAGAATTAGTGATTATAACTGAAAGGCACCTAACCAAATCTCTAACTCGTGCGCCACTAGAGGGCGAATATGTGATTGTACAATTTACAACAAAAAAACTTACATCGCTTTACGTTGGAAAGGTGATAGAAGGTAGAAATGAGAATAATGAATTCTACATATCATTTCTGAGGCGTACGCCTGGTACTAGCAAATTTCACATGCCTGATAAGCCTGACCTTTCTGTTATAAAAGAAAGTGATTTGAAATTACTTCTGCCAAAGCCTTCAATTGTTGGCACTTCTTCTAGGCCGTACTATAATTTTGGACTAGATTTATCCCAACTTCGGATATGCTAAGAGGTATAAGGGTTATGGAGTTATTAATTTTTATTTTTGACTTGTTCTACAAACTTTCATCATTCGATGAGCTTAAGGAGTAAGATTGGTTTTTGTCTCTGATTGTAATAAAAGTTTTTTTTAACATTATAAGTACAAAAGAATACTTACAAAGTAATGTGTACATTTGTAAGTTAAGTAGAAGACTTAATTTTATTTGCTTGCTGATTATTATTATTGTTATTATTTATGCTTACGATGAGACTTATTAAAGTAGAAGTTCTTCAGTGTTTTGTAAGGCAAATAGGAGTCTGATGTATGTGTGATTTTGATTATTTCAATGTTAACAGCTACGATGCGCTCATTTTGTTTTTTAATATAGTAATGGGAATAAGTTTATTTTGATCAGTGTTTTTTCCGAGATATTCAAAGGTGACTCAGAAATAAAGATTTCAACAGCATTCCCGTACTTTTGATTAACTCGGTTTGTCTTGAGTCTCTGTGTACTGTTAGAACCACTGTGGACCACTGGGGTGTGTCACTGTAGCACCCTACCTGTGCACAGTGGCTCATTTCTAATTTTTTACAAAATCATTATTGGTTGTTTTTTGGCACCCTTTGTGGACATTTTGATGGCACAGGATAAAAATTTCATAACCTCTGCCCACATTGGCCGAGTTTCAAGCCATTTGGTGAAGACTCGATGAATATTAGAGTCAACTGAAAAAAAGTGAGCCACTGTTCCCGACAATACCCTACTTGATTTTGTTTGGCATATTTCGTATTCAAATTTGGAGCAGTACCTATCTATCATGGCACCTTTTCTCGAGTTTACTCCGTGTTAGAGTATTCGAGTGGACTGTATAGCGGCTGGTTCAAGAATGAAATGTGGTTGTCGCCTACCTTTGATCCGGTATTCTGTCTAATTCTGGTTCGTATTCCTGGCGTAGCGGTGATGCAGGAGCGTGAAGATTGCGGATGTGGGAGCGGTTCTGACTCTATGCGTTTGCTGCATATATGCGGTTTCTGACTATCTGCGTTTGCTGTGTAGACACGTGATCTCACTGTATGCGGTTGCGGGTATATATGTTCTCACGGTATGCGGGTTGCGGCGTATCTGCGTGGTCTCTTTGTGAGCTAGTATCTTTTTTCCTTTTATTGCCCTAGCAGCGCACGTGCGCGGGGTAGGCAAGCGACAACTCATACGGGCCTTAAAATAAAGTCAACCAGATATCCCTAACACTCCGTTACATTGATTGATCATGATTTTGATTTTTGAGCTGCCATAACTTTTTCTTAGAACAAGGGATAACTTCTGAGGGTATATTACTTTAATACCTTTTTTCTAATTTTTGCCTTTTATTTACTTTTCTTGTTAAAGTGTGTACATGGTTTTTCAAGTTCGAGTGTTTTAATGAGTAGTTTTGTCTCCTAAAGAGAATAGAGAGTAGATTTTTAAGCAGTCTTTCTTTAGGTTTTTTTTTACTTTAAGTTTTTAGTGCCAGGTAAGCAGCCCATGCTTCGTGAATCCTTTGCGTGTCAGTCCACTACTGGCCACAGCTGCGATCATCTCGGCGGCGTCTAGAGCTGCACGTGGAAAAGGCCTGCAATCGAGCTAAGTCTGGGCTTAGGTGCTTCAATATTTGTAATGGTCGCCGTTTACCGGGCTTGCATTTCAAACATCTTGTGCGGCAATTTTAGATAATATCCTTTTTTTGACTTGTACTCTAGTGGAGGGACATTTTTATGGTGGAGCATATATGTGTTAATCAATCCGTTAATATATATTGTGATTTTTACAATTAATTAATTAGTTTACGTCATTGCTATTAGATTCTTTTATTTTCTGTTCCGATTAATATCTCGGTGATTTATAGCCTAATCCGTCTTGAGTCACTGGCGCCCTCAACCCTCCTACTTTCCGCTTTGTCGAGCTAGTGCCTAAATTTGCACGTCACTAGACAGCCGTTTTGCATTGTCTAACCGTTTGATTCTATGGTATTTATCGTATTTTATTAATTCATTAATTAATTACAAAAAAGGAAGGAAGAAACACACCACCAATGCGTCGCAGGTGGAGCAATCTAAAAGTTTATGATCTATATAGATACTCCTGAAAAGCAAGCTGCTAGAATGATCCATGAAGAGCGATAGGAACTATTGAAAAACACACAGACAGAGAAAAAAGTACACCTGAATCATCTGATGAAGAAGAATGCTATTGAGTTCTTTGCATAGAGACAAATTCAGCGAGTCGATGTGGAGCGAGTTGGATTCAGTGGCAAGGGGTCTTGTACTGATGGAAGTAAATATTATATATGCCAGAACTAGGATGGTACTGATTAAATATTACACGTAAAAATATTTTATTCAAACTTTTTGTTTATTAATTTGTTTCAATTATTATTCAGAAATTATTTTTGATTAGGAAGTCTAGTTATAAAACTACTCGAGTGGAACACTCGCAAGAAAGAAATATAATTTCTCTCTTTGTTTTAGTTTAGTTCTAATAATTATCTAAAAAGACTACTTGAACGTGTCTTAAATATTGTTAATTGATAAAACTTGAGTGCCTAATTTATGTATCATTTTGGTGTGCTACAACACTGTTCCCTGTTGGTGTTACAACTATCCCCAGTAAAGGGTCGATTGTAACAATCGCACACACTCATTAAAGTGACATATTCCTGCCAAACTATCATACTTGAGCTTCCGGATTTGATATTATTAAGACAAACGACATGTTTTCATCTCGTGCTTAGTCGGTTCTGTAATAGCTATAATAGTTGTGCATTTAAAAGAAAATTCTTACAACTGCACCCAGACTATCCTACTTGTATACAGTTCTTTGATTTAAGTCGTACTTTCGACATTATTATAGAAAAAGATCTAATAACTAAGATCAAGCAGTTGGCTGGTCTTTCAATTGACGTATGGATGAAATCTTTCGTATAAAATCGAAAAATTCGGGTTGAGATAGCAAACAATGTGATGCAAATAGATATTTGTAAGATAACCTCAAAATAGAGCGCTGACAGAGAACAGTAGAAAACTATGCAGATCAAGGAGGCCATAAAGGCGTCCTACAATTATTATTGTTTGTTGCAAAACAAACTGAACTTAGCATATTTCGCCATTCGATATTTGAAAAGCGTAGTCGAGACACAATATCTGTTCAAAATTTACTATGCTGCACCTTCCCATATGTCGAATATTTGATTCAGTATTGGGGAGTAGCATCTCAATGGCAACAAGTTTTTATTTTGCAAAGACGTCTAATTAGATCAATTTATAGTCTAGGCAGGGTCGAATCTTGTCGCCCACATTTTAAGAAAATAAATATATATATATATATAAATAATAAATAAAAGTTATGATAATTCAATAAAACATATATGACTTCACCATGGTTTCTGATATCCATCAATACAACACCAGAAGTGTCTGCTCAATACACATGCCGCATTTCAGTGCCCAAAAGCTCACTCTATCTATGCAGTAAAGTCTATGATAAATTGCCTCAATCCATCAGACATTTATTTTGTAAACGCGCATGCACTATCAAATTTGAAATTTTAGCTCTGCTTCAGAACGAGAATTGTTAGAATCAGTACTGAAGTGGTTAGGATTTAGTTCGGAATTTGTTGGAAGGGAGAACTGCCAGTTACGGAATCAGTTCCATTTTCTGTTGGAACGGTAATGTCTATACGCGCATGATCTGTAGGGGAGACCGGTGTCGATTGTAACAGGTGTCGAAAGTAACAGACTGGTTACCAACGCCATCTAGCCAATATTGCCTGAAACGCATGTGCAGGCTAAACCAGACAGCGTACTTTTCCTTCGGTATTCAGTTTGAATAAATGCCTTGTGCTCACTGCGTGTTTAATATGCAAACGTGTATAAACCGAACAAAAAGTAAATAAGCACAGTGCCATAATTTGTCTCTAAAATTCTATAATGGAGTACTGCTGAAGTATTTGAAGGTAAGGATCCTTTTGTTTGTTTTTTGTGCTTTAACCTATTTCAGATAACTTTAGAAATATTTTACGTATAAGTTAAGAAAAATAGTCAATGTAATTTTAGGTTCTTTGGTGTCAATTGTAACACGTCCGGAGGTGTCGATTGTAACGTGTTACAATGACACCGGGTCATGCCCTTTTTTGATAAACTTATTTTATTTTCAGTTTAACGAAACAATGGTTAAACCCAGACCAAGAAAGATTGGAAGAGGATTGATACCTAAAATAATTTATGATGAAGCCGCAAAAAAAGTAATTGATAACAACCAACCTGTAAGGAAAGTGGCTAAAGAATATGAAATGTGTCATGTGATACTATATCGTTATGTAAAATCTCTGAGTAATAATTTGCAGCCTAAGATAGGATACAATCCATACAACAAAGTTTTTACTGCAGAACAAAAATTACAGCTTGCTTAATATTATGAAAAGACTATAGATCTATATTTTGGGCTGACAACAAGAGGTCGTTGTAAGCTAGCGTTTCAATTTGCATATGCTAATAAACTCATCCATCCTAAAAAATGGGATGAAACTGTACACGCCTCTGAAGATTGGCTTACAGCTTTCCTAACACGGCACTCCTATTTAACCCTTCGCATGCCCCAAGCCACAAGCCTTTCACGAGCCATGAATTTCAATAAAGAGAACGTATCTGCTTCTTTGATAAACTATCATCAGGTTTGGAAAGGCATCACTTTGAACCTCAAAACATTTACAACATTGACGAGACCGGAGTGACTACAGTGCAAAAGCCAACTAAGGTAATAGCCAAAAAGGGAACAAAACAGGTGGGATCCATATCCTCGCAAGGTTCCTCCAATGTTTTTATTCCCTCGTATCCATTTTAAAGATCATTTTATTAGAGATGGACCCATTGGATGTATAGAGACTGGAAATAAATCCGGGTGGATGCATGAAAATGAATTTCTTGCTTTTACGAAACCTTTCGTGAAACATGTGAAACCAAGTGAAACTAATAAGGTGCTTATTTTGTTGGACAACCACTCTTCAGGCGTTTAAATTTCCTTAACAAACTTTGCAGAGATAATTTCATTACCTTGCTGTCATTCCCTGCACACACATCACATAGACTCCAGCCTTTGCACCGAGGAGTGTATGGCCCTTTTAAAAAGTATTTCATCAATGCTACAGATCAGTGGATGAAAAATAATCCAGGAAAACGCATGACTATTTACGATTTACCTGGGATTGTAAAATCATCTTTTCCTCTGGCCACTACGCCAAATAACATTATTGCTGGTTTTTCATGCACCGGTATATGGCCTTTCAACCGAGAGATTTTTAGAGATAGTGATTTGCTTCTTCCACTGTAACCGACAAGCCACTACAAGATGAGAATTTAACTACAGGGACTAATATGCCCGACATCGAGAATAGACATAAAAATCCAGAATCAGCAATAATAAGACACACCAGTCCATTACGAATTCAACCAGGACCATCCACAGCCTCAGACACTACTCCTCCAACAGAATCACTATTAGTTTCCCAGAATTATTCACCCTTAGTTACGCCTAAAGTTCTTAAACCACTGTCAAAAGCAGATTCCGCTAAATCCAAAAAGGGAGGAAAAATGAAACGAAGAATGGCTATACTAACAGATACACCAGAAAAACTTTTAATCGAAAACAAAATTTAAAGAAAAAAGTCCCAATGAAGTATAGCCTTGACCAAGTTCAATATGAGAAGGAAAAATCGCTGCAATCAAAAACACAAAAAAAGAAGAGTAGGAATATTTCCAAGAAGAAAAGTGCTCCGAAAGACGGCACTTTTCAGACACTTCTAACGAAGACACCCTCCGTTTGGTATGTTTCGGTCCATACTCTAAGAGCACAGAAGACTGGTTGCAATGTCGAGAATGCAAAAAGTGGGCACATTTAAATAGTTCAAATAAAAGTCCATTTTATGTTTGCGTAAATTGTAACTCTGACGACGACGACTAATTATTAGAATTATCTAAGAAGATGTAATGAAAAAGTTTATTTTCAGTTAGTTATGTTTCCTTTTGAATTTTTTGATGTTCTGTTATTTTTTATATTAGATTTGGCCAAAGAAATAAATGTTTATTTTTATTATTTACGTGTTCATTTGTCATGCTTCACCTTTTTAAGTCACTGCACGGATCTGTTACAATTGACGCTGACCCTGTTACTATTGACACCTCTTAGGTGACAATTGTAACACTTGTAACTGTTCCCTCAAAAGCATTACCATTTCATATTTGCGACACGTGTACTGTTTTAGAATTCAAAACAGTTTTCTCTGAATTGCTGCAGTTGTGATTAAGGTAAATTGAAAGTATTAAAAAGTAACCAGAACTGAGAAAATAATTAAATATTAATTTTGTTACAATTGACACCGGTCTCCCCTACATATCAGAACTAGTTCGATGGCTTGTTGGAACAAAGACAGTCAAGATGAAAGTGTACGAATGTGTTCGTTTCCTCGGATCGTTTATTGCATATTATATTTGATATTATTTGAAATGTATTGACAATTACTGGTGTATAAAAAAAATATGTTGATTCATCTAAGTAGATTTGATTTATGAAATACGTTGCTCATACGATTTTCTTTTAGTCAGGGTTTCTAAGAATACGAAAAGTAGATTTGCAGACCACATTCTAACTAATAGGTACATATGTTTTTTTTACAACCCCAAAACAAGGCTGCCACTTGCTTAGCAATTGCTTTCGATGAGAACGCAATGTTAATGCAAACGAAGTCGATTTGACGTCAGCTTGCTTTGTGCCAGAACAGTGCGTAACGGATGTGGTAGTAGATCAATTAATTGGAAATAGCTCAACTTGTTATGAAATACCCTGTACAACACTGATATTAATCTAGTTATGTATACATGACTGTCTTCTATTCATATCATCCCTTGTACTTTGACAAGCTAGAATCGAACCCATTCCTACCTATACATGCATACGCATGCAAATGGTAGTCGACCCGAGTTGCAATATGATTGCAAATGGAGAGCATTGATCGAGTTCTTGTACAGAAGGTGCGGGGAGTATTGCTTATCATTTCACTTGCAATGCTGCGTTGGAAGTTGTGGGTAATGGTCTTGATACCGATATTTCAGCACAAAAGGGAAGTACTTGGGGGAATGCTTTTCTTCTCAGGTTGAGGGAGGTTGACATTTTTAGGGCAATCGATTGAGCTTCTTTCAGAAATTGCTCCACTGATGCATGTAAAAAATATAATTTGAGCAACATAAAAATATTCAATTGCCTCAATGGATCCCTCCTGTTAAAAATGGATTTTTTTGTAACAACTATGACTCGAAAATACAGGAATTCTGACAATTACACTATACTGTCCCAGAATAAGACTGCAATCTCTCGGATGTATATATTTAGAAGACAAAAATAATTAACAGGTTTCTATGAAAAATGGCGTCAAGTAGATTGACTCTACACCTTCAATTATATCGGAAAGGCACAACTTGCAATTATTAATGCGCTATTGAGTTTGTCATGGAAAAAATTCTCTCAAATTTCTTTCAGTAATTCTGCTTAGGTTTGGATGAATCTTTTACACAATATCATTACTACGGCAAGGACGAAAAAGCTTTGAAGTTTTGAAAATGGGTCTAGTGGAGAAAAACTTCAAAAACGAAAAAAATATAAATCGCTCAAACGTCATTTCTTGGAGTCTCAGAGATGATCCTGATCATTTCTGAAAAATGGGCAAATAATTGGTAATTATATACAACTTTTATCCATATTTAAGACACCATAGGTTTTCCCGTACATTTGTCTTTAAAACTCTTTCTCAGAGCACTTAACTTGTGCTGAACGTAATTCTTTATGAACTGATGACGGCGTTGCGTATGAAGTGCAGAGTCACCCTACTTGACGCCATTTTTTCCAATCCGTTGCGTGATTTCTCCTTAATGTAGTAAAAACCGTTTCTCTGCTTGATCATAAGAATATCGTTAATATGACAATAACACCATGCAGAGAAATATATTTTATATCTTTAGGTGAAAACCGTTCGTGGGACTAAAAAAATTCGAGAGTAGTGGCTTCTGACTGATGTACTTTTAAAAACTTTACCATCCTGTATCTCAGAAGTTCAAACGCTTAGAACATACGTTCATATGAAGTTTCCTTCTTTAAATGGGCCCCTTGAATTTTGACATTCAATTATTAAACTCAAAGTATTTGCCACGTGTCCTTGCAATATCTCTTATATCGCAGAACGTCAAATCGAAGCCATATGATACATAGCTCCTCTTTCCACTAGTGCAGCCGTCCTCGATGATTAATAGCGTTATGCTACGTCCCCTTTTACAAAGGGTTCAAAATTAGTCCGACAAAGGGTTGCCAGTCGAAATTAGTCGCTAGCATATTGTCGCAGGTGCGTTGACTAAAAGTGAACAGAGATGGCTTTTGTCGTTCCAGCTCTTTGCTCTCTAGATGCCGGCAAGTTGGCAATAGCGCTGGAAAGGATTCGGGAGAACAGTCGGGATAATAGACCAGGTGATGCATGTCTCAACATCTTTGACAATTAGGAAGTTTCCTATAGTCGAAAATACTGCTAGTTTCACTTGCATATGATAGTTCAACTGGTATCTTTCACAAATCTAGAAGAATTATCCCGACATCTTCAAATTTATGGAAGGTATGACATCTTCTGTATTGAGTGCTGTATTTGACCGACCTCGCGCGTCGAGGGTCTGTCGTGAGGTCACATGACTATGGCTTGGCTTCTGGGCCACAGCACTGACGCTTCGGCATTTGCATATCGCATTTACCCTTAGCGCTCAAGGTGACCAGTCGCAACATACTCGTACTGTTTGTATTTAGGCATAGACTGCTGTGCGATATTATAGATATACAAAGAATAAAATGGAAGACTTTTTGCATACCGATTCCACTAATATTTCAAAGGTGGTCATAATAATGGTTGATGTGTGAACATATTATGCGAAACATGTAGGGTAATTCCGGTAGAGATCGACCACCGGGAGAGACCGACCACTGCCGGTAACTTAACCACCAAGCAATAGATGAATCCGTGACTCACATGTATGATGCGATTAGTTGACCTTGTTACATGGAACACGTAAACACGCCCCGTAACAGTAGTATAAATGTACAAATTAAATTTAAAAATTTGACAATTTTTTGACTGATTTACTGTGTTCGTGATATTTTAAAGACGGGTAAGTTTAATTGAACTGTTTCAATACTGGATGATAAAATATGCATTAAACTATAACATAACCCCAAAAAATGTAGGTATTTATCATTTTTCCTTCGGTTAACAAGGTGGTCGATCTCTCCCGTAACTTTGGTAGAGTACGACCACATCAATCCGGGAGAGACGGACCATGGAAATAATAATAGTAATAATGAAATATTCGGCGGTCTGAAGGAAATTAGTGATACAATAAAGCTCAATTTGAAACAATAAATTTATTGTAAAATAATATTGTTACAGATTAACAAAAATGCCCACGACTTACAAAAGGAAAAATGAAGAGAGAGCTAAATGGAGTGCCGGTTCTTTAAGAAACGCAATTGAATGTGTACAAAATCGTACAATGGGTGTAAATGAAGCCGCCAGATAATTTGGAATACCTAAAACAACGCTAAAAGATAGGATTAAGAAGGGGGACGCAATAAAGCAACACAGATTAGGTCCGTCATCAGCGTTGGGAGAAGATGCAGAACTAAAATTGGTGCAACACATAAAAAAAATGCAAACATTTGGATTTTCACCAGATCGGGAGTCCGTCAGAATATGGGCTTGTCAACCTTCAGAAAAATTAAAACTGAAGCACACGTTTAATAAAGAAAAAGGCAAGGCCGGTTATGATTGGCTTAACTCGTTTTTACGTCGACATCCTGATATATCGATTAGAAAAGCCGAAGGAATTTCTATTAACCGAGCGACTGGAATGAACCGTCTGTCCGTGAAACACTATTTTACCTTTTTAGAAAATGTTCTCACTGTTCCCACTTGTTCCCAAAACTAACGCAAAAGCAGTAGCTAAAACACGAGGTAGGCAGCTTGCAACTATTTTAAACAGTTCACAACGAATTGAGATTCAGAAGGATAAAAGAAAACAAAAAAAACAAATGTCCAATTCAGAAAAAAACTGTGGTTAAACAGAAAAAAACATTAGAAGGTTCAAATTCGGAGAGCGAAAGTCCAGTATTGCAGGAAAGTGATACATCAGCAGATGAATGGGACGAGAACGAATGCGTAGGATGTGGGGAAAATTATTTTAAAACCACTAAGAATGACGAATGGCTCAAATGTGTGAACCGTAGTCGTTGGTTTCATAATGGATGCTCAAAATTCGAGAATATTTGCGATATATGCGGAAAATTTAACAAGAGAAGTCGAAAAAATTAAATGTATTTATACGATTTAATTCTACCCTTATTATTATACTGTTCAAACATGTTTTATTATTTTATGTTTTCTTATTTTTCGAAGTCGATCTCACCCGTAGTTGGTGGTCGGTCTAACCCGGACATCCGGGTGAGATCGACCAGTTACAATGTTTAAACTTTTAGTTCAAAATAAACATTTATGTTTGTATTATATCTTAAATTGTGATTTATTTACTATCCTAACCCTTTAGGTAATGCTTCAACAGTTAAAAAAACGTGTACCTCAGAAACCAAAATATTTACAATATTTTTTCCAAAATGTGGTCGATCTCTCCCGGACTTACCCTATGCTTTGGCACGCAATAAGATTTATACTTAACTTCACGCGCGATCGACGCCATGTGGTCCAAAAGTCCTAAAGTATAGCTAAAATTAGAAAGATCCACTAAATTTTACAAAAAAAAAACAGGTCGTTGATAACGAATATGATTGTCCAATTATACGAGTATATACGTTATATATAAATATTTGCAAATTCAATACGGTGTACATCCGTGAAAAAATGTTTTGATGGAGCTCAAATTTTAGTTTTAGATGTTTTCAGGGGCGCTGATAACAAACTTGATATTCATCGTTCAAAAAAATATTGCGGCTGTTTGCAAAAAAGTTTTGACACGCTCAAAATTAAGTTTCAAGTACTTTTAAGATAATTATTTGAAATAGAGCGAGCTCTAACGACCTTTTAATCTCATTTTGAATTTATCAATTATGGAAAAAATATCAGTTACATATTGTTGTCGCATAGCAAGTAATACAAAGCCATATCATAATAACTATGCGTACCTTTGATTCCGCAAAGGGCCGTTCATTTCGGCTGGTCGGAGTCCAGATAACCGAGGAGTTGATCTGGCACGAACACATCTCGTTAATAGCGGCAGCTGCTGGGAAGAAGCTAAGCTATTTATTTAAGGATGAGAAATACTCTCCTTCACATGACCTCCTCACTCTACACCAGAGTTCCTAAACTTTTTGTGTCGTAGACCCCTTGCCATGTTTTTCCGTGTCGGGTAGACCCCCTACTTACCTGATATTGATTTCCTGTAAATTTCTAACTGTACTGAAGTTTAGTGTTAAAAACACATGTTAATTTATACATTTATTAATTGAATTTAAATTAAAACTAATCAAAATAAAATTTTGTATCTGTTATGTAAAATATACGTAACATTAAATAAACAGGTGTCTGACCAATAAGTGCCCGCATTGGGAATAAGTGCCCGCATTGAAAAAAAATAAGAGGGATAAAATAAAAAAAAGTGAAAAATAATAAAAAAAAAGTTTTTTACTTAAAATAGTACAATAAGCGAGTTCGTTTATTAATTATAACATAAACGTATGTTCTACAATAATTTCACTATTAGTTTGATTAAATTCCGCTTCTTATACGTTTAAGTTATCTAAAAATAGGCAAAAAATTAACGAATTTTAGTGTGTACCTACCTATCCTTGAATTTTCAGAATAATCAAAAAAAAAAATATTTTCTATAAAGGGGGGTTCTTTAAAAAAATCAATGCGGGCACTTATTTCCAATGCGGGCATTTATTGGTCAGACACCAATAAACATAAAATAAATTATAAGTAAAATAACATAAGCAATAAGTCAATATTTTTAGGGAGAAGGATGAACCTGATGCTTTAATAATAAATCATCAACATTTGGCGTCAATTTTGTAAGGGTTAATCTTAAATCTCCTCGGCTAATGATGTCCAGTCTGTTTCTTTTTTTCGTTAGGAGATTGGTAACAGCGCTGAACCCCCTTTCCACTAGGCATGACGATGGAAAGGAAATTAAAAATTTCCTCGCTATATTCCATAATACGGGATAAGTAACGGGTATGTTGTTTTGCAGCCAGAATTGTTGTTATCTGTTTTTAAACTGAACCTTAAGTTCTTCGTTTGTACTTAGTTTAGTCAGTTCCTCTTGTATTATGACATTCGTTTCTTCTATGTCACCATATGGATTAATTATCCACGGAGGTATTACCATAGTCAAAATATCCTCAAACCTAGATTCAAAATCTGAATAGAGGGCATTTAAATGTTGAACGTAAGTTGAAACGTCGTCTTCCTGGCAGCTTGTCTGTGACAAATTGGGGAACTGAGAAAATTCGCCCCGTCCAATATTTTGCTTCATTAGTTTAACTCTGGCAAGAAAAGCTGATAAGATGGACTTTGTTTTAATCAAATTTAAACTATCGCCTTGTGATTGCAAATTAACTATATTAAATTTTGTAAGCAAATCTGTTAAATAGGCGATGTCTGTTTTCCTCTTCATTAAATTTTCTTTTAAAAGATTACCTTTAGTATCCAGAAATTCTAAAATAGTCTCAAAAAGTGCAAAAAATCTTGTCAAACATAAGCCTTTCGACAGCCAGCGTACTTCAGTGTGAAGGAGTAATTGATGAAAGTGTTCGTCATTTTCTTCACACAAATAACCGCGTATTCAACGCGTTGATTCGGATTCGGTTTCCTGCATCAATGACTAAATGAAGTGATTCATGCAATCTAACACTCAAATTTTTGGCAACTAAATGTTGTCGATGGATGACGCAATGTATTGCTAACACCCCTGACACATTTTGTTTTAAATAGCTTATAAATCCACGATAACGTCCAACCATGGCAGGTGCTCCATCTGTAGCTACTGATATTATATTCGATAAAGGAATTGGTTTTTCAATGAAGTAATCCTTCAAATCATGAAATATTGATTCACCTTTAGTGTCGGTTATCAAAGTTCTTGCGAAGAGCAGTTTTTCGTAGATTTCTTGATTCATAATAAAACGAACATATGCCAATAATAATGCTGCATTATCAGGTGAAGTTGACCCGTCCAGTTGTATAGAGAAATGTGTCGTTTGTAAATAATTACATAAGAAGCTTTCAATATCAGAACTCATTTCATCAATACGTCTTTCAACAGTATTGTTGCTTAAGGGAATTTTTTTAATGATATCAGATGCAGGTTTGTGTAAAACAGTTTTTAAAACCTCTTCAACGGCTGGCAAAATTAGCTTCTCTCCGATAGTATCTGGGTTTTCCGGATTTTGCTATAAGTAACGAGATATTGTAAGACGCCCGCAAACCATCATTATTTCTTTGTGACGTCGAAGCGAACATTCTGTCCAGTGTAGGTCTCTTCTGAAATTTATCTTTGAGTGTATTTCAAATCTTTCTCTGTTTTATCAGGGTGGCATCTTCTCAGATGATCTTGCAGTTTAGATGGTTTCATAGCGTCATTGCCCAAAACTTTGTTGCATAAAAGGCACATCGGCGATTGTTTGTCCGGCAATGATGGAAATAAGTCAAATTTCAAATAATCAACACTGTACTGTCTACATTTCTTTTTAGATACGGACATGGCATCAGTCATCTGTGGGCAAAATTAAATTATTTAAATAAGATAGTAAATCGAGCAGCTGTATATTAAAAATATTCTTTGATTTTTCCGAAAACATTCCATAATTCGAACATCTTCTTGCAAAAATTAGCTGGAATTACGGAAATTGTACTGTAATTATATTACCGATTGCTAAAACTTTCAAAAAGAAACTATTGAGGAGTACTCGTGTAATTTTGCATGATTGAATATTTAACTACTAATAACTAAAGTCATGATTGGCGTAATTTATCTATCTTTGCTAACTAGGAGTACAAAACTAAAATTTAATAAAAAACAATGTACTTACTTTTCTCCGGCACTCTCAAACAAAATAACACTGACTCACTGTAATTTGTGTGATATACTATGTTTATATTTTTTAAAATGTTTTCTTAGCACTTTCCTTTTCAAGATTCAGGAAACGAATAAACGTCTTTGTCCCACATTCGTATTTCTAGAGTGACGAATTGAACAAGTCAGTGCAAGGTAGCGAAGCTCTGAGACTGCGACTCTCAGGTTTTTACAAGTTCAAAATGTATTGCGACCACAAAGCGAATACCAACATCCTACAACCTACACAATTTTATAAACATATATAATAAATTTTTTACTTCATAGGCACTTTTATAAATACTGTTTATGTTTTGATATTATAAGATAGTATGATGTAAGTAAATAGGTACTATCAGTGTATGTGTTGAGATCCACTATCGTGGACCCCCATATTCATTTCATGGACCCCCAAATTTTTTTTCGCTGACGTAGACCCCTTGCAGGTTGTCATAGACCCCTGGGGGTCGATATAGATCAATTTGGGAATCAATCCCAACTAACAATTATCACTCCTATTAGAGTTGCAGGAATGATTATACAGTATTCCTTACACAGCATTGTATACTGTAAGAACATTGGCAAAACCCTCTTAGAACAGCTATACAAGCGGAATGGGCACACCTAATAGGACACTTCAGTCATTTAAGAGGTTGTATAAGGGCTGCAGGTAACAGTTATACAAAAGAAGTGTAAGCCCCTTGCAGCCGCTATAGGACATTTGCGTCAGTGAAAGATTCAGTTTTTGTCAACTATACAATTACTCTGATACGTGATTCTACTTTATTGCAACCAAACTATTTCTTATGTATTGTATAGACGAAGTAAAGAATATATAACTAACACATTACAGTCATCTTGTTTACTTACATATCGGCCATTGTGAATTTCATACACAGGTATATGATAAACTTCTACACTGTGATATAGGGCTACTGAATTACTTGCGCAGCAAATTTTATTGTGATTATCGTGCAAAGTAGTTACGCAATTTCTACGGGCTTCGTATTGGTTGCATATTTTGATAATGATCAAAAGTATGTCTAGATTTTGAAGATGGAAAACTTCTGCGTCAAATCTTCCACAAATCCTATATTTAGACACAATTACACTAATGTTTATCACTTTATATCTGTAATTTCGAACTGAAACATAATTATTTAATATTAAATAGAGGAATAAATGTTTGCCCAATATGGCGGGTGCTTGTGTATAATCATGGCATCGCCATGTTGTCTTTAGTTTATTAGAATATTTTGGTGTTGCCTGTAGGTGTTATAGGTTATAGGTTATAGGTGTTATACAACAATTTGACGAATGTCTGAAATGAAATATCGACAGAATCGAATGATTTACCCAGAATTTGTACCAGATCTATATATTCTGTTTCAACAGTTGATAAAACCTTTTGAACCAATAGGCATGCGTTGTTTGTCGTAAAACATTGGTTACGGCATTTTAACAAAATATGACAGCGGAAAGTTAGGTTATGGTGAAGTTGTATACCAAAATATTTAGCATATGTACAGCCTTTAACAGTTACTAAACAACAGTTGTATAAGTGCTTCCGTTGGAAGCAACTTCTTGGCTAAACTAGTAATATGCACAGCAAAACAACAAGGCTCGGTTTTTTTTTATAAGCGTTACCATGGATGCCACAACACAACCATTTTGACTAACATGCAAATATGTCGTATAAAATAGTTGTATAAGCGTGTATGCAACAGTTAAGAATTTGTCCTATAAGGTGTTGTATAACTATGCTATAAGAATATTTTAAACACCTTATTTTAGAGCAAATATGTTGCAGAAAGCAAATTTGCATTCCACACAACATTAAGCCAGCATTTTGGTATTCAGGCAACAACAATAGAGAGCTTTTATGGCTGAACTGTTCTTTTACCAAAAGCTTATAGCACTACTTTGCTGGAGTCGGGATGCTCTAGACAAAGCCGAGAGGTCTTAACCTAGTCTCGAGTATTGCTCACACACTTGGGGTGCTGCCGCCCTGACTACATTATCCATGCTCGATGTTGTTCAAAGGAGGGCTTTCCGATTGATCGATGACTCTTCTCTAGCAGACAGTCTCGAGACCATTTCGCACCGAACCGTCGGCGATCCAGCTTTCTCCTAACGCTAAATCGTGTCGAACTTCGTACATCCGGAACTGTCCAATACGACCGCTCCTTTGTCCCTAGGTTATGGTGATAGCAGCCGCGGTGCCCTCGCATTTAGGCTTCTGCCTGCGCTGCAACTTGGCGTAAAAAATGTTTTAGCATATCTCAATACAAGTGATTATTTTGAATGTGACAAATTTGTTGCATATTTTTTTGTTGTCTGTTAGCCGACATGATATCTAAACGAGGGTAATATGCAACACTACCATATTATAATATTTTCAATAACATTAGTGATTCGCATAGACGTTTATTTGTTTAGAAATTTAAGATTTCGTTGTTAGAATATAGTAACTTAAACCTGAAATGACAAGTTTTGGTCACCTTAGAAACATGCGCGTGAAAACGTAAGTTTTGATCAACCAGCAGATCAAGGCTCTTACAAACAGAAAAAGATTAATAATTAGTTGGGCGACCCCGCAGCTGAATACACTCCTGTATACGTGTAGGCATCGACAAAATGAGATGATCGATGTCTGTTTGTAAGACTTCATTACAAGCAACTTAAACTTGGTGGATTAGCTATGGCAGAGACTGTGGCGGAAGGAGCAAAGTGGATGGTCTTCTCCCCATCATATCCCACACATGTTCGATGGGATTTAATTCTAGTGGGTAGCTACGGCAAAACATTAACGTTTGCTTCTTGAAGAAAGTCCACAATATGACGAGCAATATGGGGACGTGCGTTGTCTTACTGGAAAAAGACGTGTGGACCGCACTCTAGATGCGGCAGTAAAGTGGTTTGTAGGACATCATCAACATAACGCACAGCAGTCATATTGCCTTGGACAAAGAGAAGGAATCATCGGCTTCCATAGGCAATAGCCCCCCAAACCATTACTCCAACAGTCCTGTGTATATACCCCTCAACAGCCAATCCTGTTCCACGCCTATCTCCACGGCGGCATCTTACCCTTCTACGACCATCGTGCGTACCTAGACATATTCGCGATTTCTAGCTGAAGACGACATTATGCTTTCTGCCTCCCAATGTTCTCGTTCTCTGCTCTAGTTGAAACGATGACGACAGTGGCCGCAGTCAGAGGAAGCACTAACCGTTGACGGTATGAAAAAAGTTCAAAGGCAGTGCGGCGATAGAGTGTACGCATAGCAACATACCTTCTTCTCCAAACCATTGGTCAGCGATCCGACGCATAGTACCAAAACGGTCTCCTAGGGCAAGTTGCCTGAAGCGCCTATCTTGACGCTCTGTGGTACACCTTGGTGGACCAGTTGACCTTTTCCCTGTTCCTCTACCATTTTCTATCCACACACGACACACACGCATTATCATCATTGCAGTACATTTAACACAGCGGTTAGTTTTGCGATAGGACAAACTAACATCTCGATGGGCAATAATTCTACCGCTGTCAAAGTCGCTATCTTGATGATATTTTTGACGACTTCGAACTCGAGGCATTTTGTTATGCTTAACAGTAGTAAATTAAAGGGCAATAACTAAAAATATGTGTACTACTCAGCTCTCAGAAACTGCTTTCTTCACAAAGACTATGAGATAAAATTTTAACAAAGGTAAACAAAAACAAATATAGAACGTTGACATTGTTGCCACATAATGCTTTAAATATAGGCATTATGTTGCCTAAAAACAAGTTGAAGAAATTAGTATTTCTGGTGTAACACTTCTAATGTCACTGAGTATATGTGAGTCTTGATAGAACATGAATAGCAAATGACTTATTCTTGGAGATGCCACTGCCTTCAGGGACGCTTACATATAAATATGCCTCCCTCGGTATACTCTTGAAGCTCCTCTAGGTATGCCGCTATTAAAATGGCAAATATCTTTACGTGGAACTGTTATGCAGGTTTCAAGCGCGAAGCTTTTTTACACGCCTTTGCCTTTCAGATCTAATATCGTCACTCTGGACTCTGCTTTCTTGGAAAATGACCCGCCCTTGAATGATAGAATATTTTAATCATTGTAGGAATCAACGAATTCGAATAGATTAGAACGAGCCAAGCCTATATATTTACATTGCATTGCTTGTCCCCAAAATTGCTTAGTTTTAGTGCATACTTTTGTCTCGTTTGTCTACCAAAGCCTGTCGAAGGGACATCGTTGTATCAACATAATAATAATTTTTAGTGGTGGAAACATCTACGTTCTCTAGGCTTGTGCCGTTCTTTACAAATT